TGATACATTAAGTAAATATTTGGGTAGTCAGTTTTTTAGGTAACACCTGGGCTTATCTCCCATCGGCAACAGGTCACTGACTAAACTTATTTCCGGTCACTAATTGAAAAAAATATCTCGTTAAAATTTTCACCCAGCAGAAGCCAATTTTCCAGTGAAAACAATTAGGTAAGTTCTGCTGAAAAACCACCAAGACTTCCCATTACGATCAAAAAAATTTCCCTGACACAGCACCTTGCCCTCCTTGGATCCCGTGAGTACCCACAATTCGACATGTCCTTGACGCATATCTGTCCATGACCTTTGCATTTTTCCTGTTTTCGGCTCTTCATTAGCCCATGACGCTTGAGAAACTTTCTTAGAAGGATGACACCAATTTCCCTCATTGTCATCAATAACTGCCTTGTTCGAAACCTTGCAGTCATAATAGGTGTTTTACCTTATAAAATTATGCTCTTGTGCGACGCTTTCGATACTAACAAGGATTGGTTCAAGTTTATTCCTCCATTAACTCCTGAGTACGCACGACTTATTTGGTTATAATGGTGATTCATTTTCTTATAATTACTCTCCTGTTAATTCCTGTCACTTTTAAGTAAACAGATTATTCGATAAACTGAAAGACCCATCGGGCAATTTATTGCTGAAGGTGAGGCAGTCATACCATCAGAAAAATCTGAAACATCTTGCAAACCAAGAATGGTGACGCAAAAGAGAAGAGCTTCAGCATCAAAAGAAAATAGAGACCAATATGTATAATTTCTATGCAATGTGTTTCACAATCATACATCGGTTAAAGAAATGTACACCATTGCGTTCTGCTGGCTTTTCCATCCCTACATCACATGAACGAGTTAGCTGTGTTGGAGGTTTTATTGTTCGTTAAGAAAGGAGCCACATAAATATTGCATAGGAAATCACCGTCTATTTAATGAATTCCTTCAAAGACAAGCCTTGGCTGCAAGTGCATCCCAAGTGGCCCAGAGACTCCACTTCACACATCCAGGAATCGGGTCGCCATCCAGGAGAGGGAGGCGAAAGGCAGCAGGGATGAACTCATGCGCGAGATGGAGGCCGGGTTGCAGTAGTTATCGGCGCATGTGCACTTGATCACTCCTTTTTTATAGTCGCAATCCCCCTCGTCGTCCGGGAATTCCTTTTCACAGTATCTTGCCGTCCAATCACCTGCAAACAAGTTACACGATCCATATGAAATGGTTCAAGAATGGCATCGCTTCCTCTCTCATCCAAGAGTCGTCCTCTAATGCGTGTCATACGCAGAAACTAGACAAAACGTATCCTAGCGTCGGTGTTGTATACGAAAGTAGAAATCGCGTATCCAACGTTGAAGTACTTCCTCCGACTGTTGTATACACAAGAGAGAAACGCACGAAAGGAAGTACTAGGAAATTCATTACTTTCATCGTTATGGGCGAACCATCTGCGAGGAAAATATCCAGCTCCTTCTAAAAGGATACTATTTAAATGCATTTGCTGAAAATACTATTCAAGATAGCGAGTTTGTTCAATGAGAGGTTTCCATCGAGCACCGTTCCCTCAAGGACCAAGAAAAGAATCGCTTCTTACTATAATGAATCCAGGAAATATTAATAGATGAGTCTTGCGATGAAGAGCAGCTTTTGAACATTTAGAACGAGGCACTTACTTTACGAACGGTGAAGAATGCAATTTTTGTGAAATATACATTATATTTATGAATTGATATTCTTTAAGTGTATGTTCCCTTTCTGCATGCAATTTTTCTTACATATTGATAAGGAAA